TAACCATATGCAGTTGTCATGAAGGGCAATGATTCCAAGTTCCCAAGAAATGAGAAGGAAGCCTCCCAGCTCCTAGAAACATACCTCCTTCCTTGGCCTGGTCTAATCTTCCTCCATTTTGAATTATGAGAGATATAGTCCTGACCTATCACATCTGGAAACACCAATTTGGATGAGGTAGGCCTACAGCCTACAAGTGTGGAAAATAATTTGAGTTATGCAAGCTGGTATAGTAAACCCCAGATTTAACATGTAAAAAAATCCACGTACAAAAGAAACTTCATCCTTGAAGAGGCTCTTCAAAATCTCTGCTATATAAAGATGCTATTATCATTTCTTATTGCTCTCATGATGCATAAGGTATAGATAGGTGGAATCTCAGTAGGAAACTGCAGTGGCCCATTTCAAAACTGGACTTTACAGTGATAACTGAGAGGATTCTTACCGCCTGGATATAATTACATGTTGGGGACTTCAAAACACAACCTTTAATGATACATATCATCAATAAAAAAATAATTCCTGCAATTTGCTTTCATTAAGAGAAGTAAGAAGGGCATCTTCAGAGATGGTTCCATGAAAAAAGAACGATGCTCATAGTCAAGATAGACTCCTGGTGAGATTGGCAGAAGCATGGTAGAGGAGTTGTTAATTCAATTAATAGCTGGCTCCTGAAATGCTTAAGGCCTACAAGCAAAGCAAAGAACTGCTACTAATGTAAGAAGATGAACACCACAAGTTGCTGCTAAGGCTTGATGCTTAAATGTGTGATTTTTTTTTTTTAGAAAAAAATCCAGGCACATCATCAGTAATTTCAGAAAGTAGTAGGGTGCTTTAATATGACAGTTTACATATCATTTTTTTAAAAAATGCAGACATTTTCAAAAGCATAATAAAAAGGAACAGGATTGGTTACCTGCCATATTAAATGTGAAGCAGCAGGTTCACTGTAGTAGAAAGTTTTGCTGAGCATGTTTACTTCCGTTTATGTGATTCTGTCAACTTTTTTTTCAGATAAGATAAGAAACATTGGTTTGGAGATAGAACGTAGGTACTAGGCTCCAAACAGTAATGTGACATGTACAAACATGTTAGAGGAAGTTTGCTTTAAAAAGGAAAAATCCGAGGAGGAGGAGGATTGAGCATTGCTACACTTCTGAAAATATATAATCTGTGCAACCCCAGAAATATAGTTTATAGAGCTTAATGGCTGGGCATGGGGTAGAATCAGAAGCCTTTTTGGGTGATAAAGCTAATTTTACTAAACATGCAGTACTTACTGATGTTTGCCTATCTCAACACAAGACTATGGCATTTTGTCTCCCCTCCCCACACACCCAAAATGAGAATTTTAGCACAGGGGTTCCCGATCTTGGCAATTTTAAGACGTGTGGATTTCAGCTTCCAGAATTCCCCAGGCAGCATGGGTGGGGGAGTTGAAGTTCACATATCTTAAAGTTGCCAAGATGGGGAAGCCCTGCTCTAGCATCAGGAAGATGGTCTTCTGATTCAGCATCCAGTCAACAGAGAAAGAAATCAAAGGATATAGAAGCATGGGTAAAGGTGAAGGGAGCAGAGTTCTTTGTTCCCCAAGGCAAACCTTTCAAAAGGCCCCCCACCCCACCTATCTTCAAAAAAAAAAAAAAGCTTAGCACCAAGCCTTCTCAGACTGCAACAGTGGGGTGGGTCAGAAACCCTCTTCTTCCCTTCCACCTTTAGCTGGGGAGGGGCTCTTCTCCCCATTTAGAATATAGCCAAACATGGGCATGTTTGGATTTACCTACCCTCAGAAGACCCCCAGCTACCCACTCCTTGGCTGCCTGAAAGTCTTCTCTTTCCAGGCGTATCAGATCTGGGCTGTAAAAATCTGGCCCGCTATGAGATTGCAGCAAGAAGGGACAAAAGAACAGGCCAAGAGATTAAGTGGCCCTGATCTGGCAGATTTATTTTCTCCCAAGGCAAGGAAAGAGAAGAGGAAGGAAGCAGCCAGCAGGCAACAATCAACAGAAAAGTCACCACGGATCACTTCCGGAACCCACTCCATGCTACTCTTTCACTGTGGTTCCTGTTGGGAACCTGTAATTCCCAACATGGCAGCAGAGATAGAGAAACTGGTTGTTGCTCTCTAGAGGTCACCAATATTTTTTCAGTCCAGATCATATAGCCCAAACCATCATGTTTGGTCAAGGTGCGGGCAACAAAGGAGAACTTTGCTGAGGCCCCCAATGGTTCTGGATCCTAAGGCAGATGCCTCCCCCAGCCTTTAAAAATAAGTGAACCCTTCTCCATTTATTAGCAATATGTTACATTTCTCATTTTCAGGGGAGAGACGCCAAGTTATTGTAATGTACTTCCCAGCAATTTTGAGGCTGAAACTGCTTTACAGGTAGTCACTCTGATAAATGATTTAGCTAAGAGAAGGATGAGAGGAATGCTCCTGCATCGATTTTCAAGCTCTCGCAGTACCATTTATGAAGATATTCTGCTCCTTGCCAGATTGACTTAATGGGTGGAGGGAGGCTTATTGGGATGATTCACTGGTACCTGGCTGGCAGATCCCTTTCTGGGAACTGCAGCACTGTTTCTCATTTTTAAGGCATGCATTCCATGGGGTTCTGCAGATTTACTTTGTGCTCTCATTGCTATTAGCAGTGCTACAGCTAAGAGCTAATTAGCTTGTTAGCTAATCAACTTAAGATTCTTTTCAGACTAACCAGAGATGTTTATTCACCCATGGAATGATATTCAAATAGAAATCTATTTCCATCCTTTATACATCTCTTAAAATATTAGAGGCTCTAGTTTTTTTCTTTTCACAGAAAAAAATATTAATATTAGTGTGACAGTATAAACACAGGCAGAAGTTCTCCGTCTGTGCAAATCATCTTGGATCCACTTCCAATGGGCATTTTGAGATTCCAAGAGGGCCTGATGCAATTTCAGTTGGAGATTCTAGTTTAGGATAAGAGTGATTCATCTTGATTTGATCTGATTCAAGAATGAAGATTCATTTTGAAAGAACCATCTGCAGACTTTAACGGGGATATATACTTCTCAGTGGCAATAATTTGGACAATCACAGGAAAGAGAGTTTTCTGTACCTTTTGGCTTTCTAAAATAATGGGATTAATGGAGAAATGTAATTAGTAGGTGAAGCTGCTTCAGTTTTTGGCAAGATGTAAATGCACCTGCAAGGGTGGGTCCAAAAGTCGAGATAGCAACTATGATTGTGCAATAAGAGTCCTGCCCTGCCCCGAAGGGTGCTGATTGCAAATTCACGACCATCTGTTTGACGTCCTTGAACACTACACTTCTATGGATCCCCTGTAGTTTTGGGTGAAGGTAACCTTTTAAATCAGGGCTCCAGACATGGCCCACTACCAGGCCATGGCCTATTTGTACTGGGCTGTGTGATTGGCGGGCTGGCATGCATGGGTGCAGCTAGACTTACACAAGCAGCGAGCCGGCACGCTTGCATATGCACATGCAGCTCAACTTGCACAAGTCGAGCCATGTGCCCATGTGCATGTGCGCCGGCCTGCTGCTTGTGTAAGTCCAGCTGCCTGGTTCCACTACCACCACCACCCAGCCAGGCTGCCAAACCACAAAGATTGGGGAACGCTGCTTTAAAGGGCATTAACCATGCGAATTTCAGGCAGTTAGCCTCACACGTTTTAACAATTTTTTTTATTTCTATGTACTTCTTTTTAAGAGCAGGGAACAGGGGTGAGAAAAGGGTAAAAACGCTAGTATACAAATTCTCTAGCATGTAAGAAAAAGCAGGTGTTTGATCCAGGATAATATCCTACTCTATCTTTAAAATGTGACTTGTCTATTTTTTTAAAATAACCTAATATTTTTACTTCTTTTCTGTGGTACCACAGGTTTGAGCTTCACCTCAGTGGTGGGTTGCCCCCAGTTCGGACCAGTTCTATAGAACCGGTAGTAAAACTGGAGGGAGGTTCCAGTTGTATCCAATAAATAAATTGTAATTTCCCACTTTGCGTGATAATTGGCCACTTCCCACCAGGGGAAAAACAAGTCCGGCATTTGACATTTAACAAATTAGATGGCTATACATTCATCAAGTATAGTCTTCCAACTCTAGCTAGCGATATAAAGTGGCTTATTCAAGGCTACCATGCAGTATCTGAGCAAAAACTGAGAACACTAGGTGCCACTAGATCTAGAGTGAGCTCCCCTTATCTCCCTGCTACAAACACCCACTGCCACTCCGTTTTGGTAAGGCTAAGTTGGAAACAAAATTGGGACAGCTTCGCTTGGCTGGCCTTTGGTCAAAAGAACTGGGCATCATCAGCATAGTAATGATACTGAACCCAATTGTCAGATGACCTCACCCAGTGGAGTTTCATATAGATGTTGAAGAAGTGGCAGAGACAATAGGGCAATATAGCAACACTCCACCCAGGAGGGGCCTAGGAACTGATCTGTCCCCAAATCTGACACCAATGGAGCACTAACATGAAACCATGTCCCCCCACAATCCCCTGGAAGTGATATCAAAAGCTGCAGAGAAGGAAGAATCGCGAGGATGAATAACCACCTCCAACTCAGTTCTGCCACTCCATCAAAAACAACTGATAATCTATGACAAAGTCTTCCTGAGGGTACAAGAGTTGCCAAGAATTCACATGTACCCATCAAAGACAGGACATTCTTGATAGATTTAATAGTTTGGGAATTTTCACTGTATTGCTTTTCCCTCAGCACCAATTCTTGAAAGCTTTTTGCATCAATTCAAGCTTTATATTACTTGCTGTTCTAATTTTATATAGGAATAATTGCATTCAATAGTATTAATTTGCCTTGTTTGATTTTTCTAAACCCAAATGCTTGTCCAAACTATGCTTTGACAGATCTTGTTGCCACCAGCTGGTATTTGCAGCAAATTACAATACACACAATGCTGTCTCATTGGTTTCCTGGTTTAAAGTTTCTTATGAATATTAAGTTGCAAGAAACAGAAATGGAAACAATGCAATGGCTCAAGGAATCCAAAGCTTTATTGATTACATGTCATGATAGAATAAAGCAATAATAAGTCATAAATATTAAAATGTAAGATCAAAGTTAGGAAATTAGTTAGGTAAGTAGCATGGGCCTAAGCAGCTTGGAAAATATTAGAGAACCCATCAAAAAACCCCACATGATCCCTCTAGAGATGCTTTTGACTACAGATCCCATAATCAAAATGATGTCAACATTTTTGGGAATTGAAAATTCAACATCTAGACTTCAGTGTGCTCACTGAAGAACTATTATATTTAAACTATACAAGACAATAAAGTTGTGATTTAGTAATCTAACCCACTCCCCCTTCACGTAGCAATTTGGCTAATCAGATTTATCAATCATTTTGAAATAAGGGAGCAAAATACTTTAGTGTATAGATAGAATAAGCAGTTTGTCGACTGAAGGTGGCATATGGCTCCATTTTTGAGATATCTGAAGTCACTCAAGATTGGGCTGATGAAATTTTTGAAGCAAAACTTCCTGAGCAGTTAAAAACAATGTTAAGCCCAGTAAACCAAAAGTAACATCAGTATCTCCCATTTTTTTAAAAAAATCATCAAAACCTATCCTGCAAATAAAACACTTGTTGCCCTTACAGGTGAAATTTGTCCCAACTGGAAAAGTTGCCAATCACTTGTGTAGATTGGTATTTAGATAATGCTTTGACCAGAATAACCTGTAAAAGTCCTTTTCCGTGTCAGGAACAGATTATTTACACTGCCCACTTTCCAGATTCCAAACTGTCAGTTTGTTTCTGGTTTTTCCTGAAGGCCTTAGGCATCCTTACTGGTAACTTTGGGTCTTTTCCTAATTGCACCTAATTATGGCACTATGTCCTGGCATCTTCTTTTTTCCTTCTTGAAATAGCCTTCATCTCAGTCCCAGCCCACGATTAGGGTAGGTTAGTCATCCTTAGCTGTATTTCTTCCCTTATTCAAACACCATCAAAGTGCAGCTTCAACACTGTAAAATCTAAGACTGTTACTTTGAAGAGATGCAATAGAGGCAAAATAAGATGGCAATTCAATTTCCTGCCAATTCAAGGCTAGGTGGATAATGCCCTGACTCAGCAGTGAGGAACATACCTTTCTAGTATCTTTTATAATCATCAAACCATTGTTCTGACAAAATAACAGAAAAAGGACAGCCCTTACATCATGACATTAATGACTGGATACTAGAAAATGTTGTAAATCACTAACTGCAATCTCACTTTAGTTCCACTCTTCTCTCCCAAATAATGTAAGACAGCGTTTGCATAAAGGAAGAAATACAAATACACAACTGCAAAAGAATTTATTGCTACTGGGAGCTCTAAAAATGCAATGGACACTAAACTTTGAGGCACTTGTTGAAAAATTTAATGTAGAGTGGCAGCAATGTTCAGCCTGTATATTTGAAAATAAATGTATCTTTCACAAACTGTTATAAATCCAAAGAAAGCAGAACCTTGGCAGGTAACTTTCCCTTAAGCAATTTAAGTTTTTGGAGAAGTAGACTGAACTTTAACAATACAATATTAACTACAATCCATTTCCTCCTCTGTTTCATGCAGAAGTGCATCCACATGTGAGCTATCTTCCCTTGCATCAGGACCAATTATAGCATCATACCAAGATTTAAATTTGGATTTAATTTTTAAAATAATTGAATGAATTGAATAGCCACATTCAATTATGCTGCAGTCTTTGTTTCCCATTTTATAAGCAAATCCAGCAGCGTGCAAAGCAACAAGCTCCCCATTTTTGTTAAACACTGGTGAACCCGATGACCCCTCAAAAAAACAGGTATTGTAGGTGACAACATTAGGATTACTTACATCTTCCTCAAAATCTTTTGGGTTAAACATATGGATGCATCTTTTCTTTTGGCTGTAACCACATACAAAGTTGCTACATTCAGTGTTCTGGCGTTTGTGCAAATGATCGTTAAATTCATTGCTACGATCAAATATACTGACAACAAGACAAATATTGGTGGACTTGATTCCTCCGTTTGGGTGACCTATGATAAAAATGGGACCATTTGGTGGTGATGGGAAATGTAATTGCAACAGTCCTGGTGGAGGATGAATTTTACTTTCATTTTCTTCCAATTTCAGGACAGCAAAATCAAGATCCACATCTGCTATTTCAAACCAGTTCTCCAATGAGAACCAATTTTCTGTAGGATGCTGTTTTACATAAGAGAAAGTTACACGGGCTGACTGCTTAATTCTATCTCCCCAGTCCTTTACTTCAATTCCTTCTCCAACTATCATCTTTATTACATGGTGACACGTTAATATATATCTATCATGGAGAACGAAGCAAGTTGCAGACCCTTGAACGCATCCTAAGTTAACATCCCTCCATTCTATATATCCAACTGAATCACCAGACTGAGCAAGAGTCTTCATCACCTCGAATGGAAAAGAGTCATTTACTTCCTTGCCAAAGTTTATTTTATAAACTTCAAGGGGATCCTTTTTGTAACCTCTCAAAAATTTGTCAATGTTTTGCCTTTCTTCCTTCAGCTTAGGATACAACTGCAGGATCTGCCATTCAAAGTCCTGCAGCTGTTGTTTTTTAGAAGTACTGAGCTGTCCCTCCTCAAAGTCTGACTCTGGCTGTTGTTTTTTAGAAGCACTGAGCTGTCCCTCCTCAAAGTCCAGCTGTGGCTGTGGCTTTTCAGGGGTACTCAGCTGCTGCCCCCCCAAATCTAAATCATTCCATTTCTTCTTTTGATCAGCACTATATTTGGCACCTTTCTTAGACTCCACCTCGATTTCATAAACTTGATCTGATAAGTTGTTGTTAACTAAAAAATTGTTATCTCTGACTGTTCCATCTTTTACCAGTGTCCAATTGTTTTCTTTTAGCAATGGCAGAAAGCGGCCATCATTGCACAGGGCATCTTTTATGGATTCTCCTTTAGGGGCAAATATACAAAATGTGCAATATTCTTTAAGTAGGCTCTGATTTTTCATTAACCTACGGCTCTGTGCTCCATGGCTTTCCATTCTAGAACCTGTTCCACAGACATAGAACACTATACATTCTTCTTTCCTATTGTCATATTGGCGATACCATAGTTCATTAGTGTTATTATTTTTAGTTAGCTTGTAGGACTTCATTTCAAATTGTGAGCCTTCAGATACATACTTTAAAGGCATTCCCATATTGACACAGACTTTCAAAGGCTCTCTCTTCTCTATTAAGTGGAACTCTTTTGTCTTGTTTTTCTCCATCCAGTGACAAACATGTTTATTAGACTTGAGGGCACTAAGCAGACTGTCGGTAAGTCTGCCTTCCACTAGATACTTCTTCCCACTTTCACCGAATGTCACCACGAATGTTCGTTCTTCTTTATTTGCTTCCTTCCAACTTGTTGGAACTTTTTCAGGAAAATCATATTCATTGTTAATTACCTCTTCTTTGATCTAATAAAAGGGAATAATTAAATATGCATTTGGTTTATTGTTTTGTTTTTCATTAAAACAACAACAGTAAAAAGACCATGTAATGCCTAGCACCTATGTAAAGTAGATATGAAACAAAATTTTGTATGGGATATTTTCATAGGTGCTTTTAACCCAATTCAGGCATTTCCTGAATTGAATATAATTAAGCTACTTAAGAAAGAAAGAAAATAATTAAGGCCATGAGCACAAACCTTGGCTCAACATGTCTACAATACCAGATAGTTTTTCCTCTTGAACACAATAACTTTAAGGGCAATTTTCTATATATATTCAAGATGAAGGGACTTATAATCTTCTCTGTAACCAGATACACTGCAGACCTGGGATTCTCATTCATGGGTTACTTTAAAACATGTTCTGCTCTACCCATATTTCCAGGTGCACGTGATTCCATAATGTACTAAGGAGAGATATGGAGACTGCAGGGAAATTCCACCATGACAATCCAACAGGAAAAGAATGAAAGGAAAGTTAGATTGATTCATCACTCCCAGTAATAGCAGAGTCAACTAACACTTTCAAAAACCAAGCACTAAGGATCCAATCAGGAGAACTGGCTTCTCTTATGTGACATTTAAAAATAGGAAGAGGACAGACTCCATGTTTGTCTTTCAGGGTTTGTTTCTTCCTCATGGAGCAGGTGAAAGCCAAGTTAGGAGGGAGCCCTTAGCCAGCAGCAACGCAATTAGATGTTCTATACCAGGGGTGTCAAACTCACCTCATCACAGTGGCATCACGTGACATATCGGGACTTTTTCCCTCTTTGCTAAACCAGGTGTGGGTGTGGCCAGCATGTGATGCATCCGGCCCATGGGCCAAGAGTTTGACAGCCCTGTTCTATACTGATTGCTAGATCAGTGGTTACTTGTGGGATGGATCAATATTTTCAAACATTATTCTACAGAGAACTTGATGAAGAGCCCTCAAAGACTAAGGACAAAAAACAATAGACTCAAACTCAACCAACTTTCTATTACTAGAGTATGATTTGACCCAAGGTCTAGAAGCTGTTCAGCTACAGACAAGGCTGTGGCTGTTTAGCCCCCTACCCAGGGGTGAAATGCTCCCGGTTCAGACCAGATCGCCTGATCCAGTAGCGATGGAGGCGGGTGGTTCAGAGAACCGGTAGCAAAAATCCCTGCCCCCCCCCCCCACCATGCCCAGCTGAACCATGCAATCATCAGAGGCTTTTTTTAAAAAGCATTTTTTCTACAACCTCTTTGGCCAAAAAAATTGTTTTAAAAGCCTCTGACGATCCCAGCTGAGTTGCCTGATCAACAGAGGCTTTTTTTCTTTTAAAAGCCTCTGCCGATCAGGCAACTCAGCTGGGATCAGCAGAGGCTTTTAAAAGCATCTTTTTAAAACCTCTTCGGCCAAAGAGGTTGTAGAAAAAATGGTTTTAAAAGTAAAAAAAAAAAAAGTTGGCCATGCCCACCCAGTCACATTACCCCCCCCCCAACAAGCCATGCCCACAGAACTGGTAGTAACAAATTTTACATTGCCCCTACCCCTCCCCAGGTTGGGGAAGTTTTCATTGTCCATCTTGGATAGGGTAATGCTTCCCCATTTGATACTGGAAGAGCAATAGCAATAGCACTTAGACTTATATACCACTTTACAGTTCTTTCCAGCCCCTCTCTAAGTGATTCACAGAGTTAGCATATTGCCCCCAACAATTTGGGTTCTCCTTTTACCTACCTTGGAAGGATGGAAGGCTGAGTCAACCTTGAGCCTGGTGGGATTTGAACTGCCAAATTGCAGTCAGCCGGCAGTCAGCAGAAGTACCCTGCAGTACTGCACTCTAACCACTGTGCCACCGAGGAATACAATTTAAGGGTCCTCCTGGACTGGCAGCTAGTGCTGAAACAGCAGGCAGTAACTATGGCAGGAGTGCCATTTCACAGGCTCATCTTGCACATCAATCGTGCTCCTTCCTCAACTGGAGGCCGTCCAATGGTTACTCGTGCCCTGATGACCTCATAATTGGACTTTGTAATGTATTCTACCTGGGGCTGTCCTTGAATACAATTTAGAAGCTACAGCTGGTTCAAAGTGCAGCAGCACAAGCAATAATGGATGCTTTTCACTATGGCCATGTGTCACTGCTGCTAGGTGAGCTGTGTTGGCTGCCAGTTGGTTTCCATCTGCATTTCAAGTGCTGGTTATCATCAATAAAGCCCTACATGGCATAGGGCCTAATTATTTAAGGAACTGCTTATTTCCATTTTTTTCCTGCCCACCCAGTAGATAAGCAGAACAACTAGGTCCTCTCTATTAAACATTCCCATCTTGGAAAACCAAGGAGGTTGGCCTTCTAAAACAGCCCCCCCACTTTTTGAAGTAGCATCCCATCAGAGATAAGGACAGCACCTATTGTGCTAGTGTAGGAAGGGAACTTCACCTAGACCCGTGATGGTGAACCTATGGCACACGTGCCACAGGTGGCACGCGGAGCCATATTAGTGGGCATGCCAGCTCAGCTCTGGGGCGCATGCGCGTGCCAGCCAGCTGATTTCCGTGCGTTCTGGGCCCACCAGAAGTAGGGAAACAGGGCCTGGGGGGTGGTGATGGGGAAGGCCCATTTTTCTTTCTTACCTGGCTCCAGATCCTCTCTATTTATCTGGGAAGGGCGAAAACAGCCTTTCCCACTCCCTCGGAGGCCTGAAAGGTGCCTTCCTAAAGACTCCTAGAGAGGCTCCTAGAGACTCCTAGAGAGATTCCTAGAGACTCCTAGAGAGGCTCTGGAGGCTGGGAACAGTGAAAAATGTCACTTCCTATCCCACAGGGAGTTGGGAAATGGGGCCTTTCAGGCCTTTGGAGGGCCTCCGAGGGAGTGGGAAAGGCTGTATTTGCCCTTCCCAGATAAATAGAGAAGATCTGGAACCAGGTAAGAAAGAAAAACGGGCCTACCAGGCCATCATGTGCCAGGAGCGGAGGGGGTGGGTTGCGCGCGCATGCGCGTGGGCATGTGCGTGTGAAACCCTCCCCCGCCCCCCCTTTCCTGGCACACGATGGCAAAAAGGTTGGCCATCACTGACCTAGACAGTTCAAAGGCAGAAACCAAAACGATAACAAAAGAAATAGAAACTCCATATACATTACCAAAAGACCTTCTAAAAATAACCTCAGAGTATCCGGACCATTAAGAGCACAATACCAGGACGTGCAGGGAAAACCACTCAAACTTAAAATACAATAGAAAATCAAGAAGATAACAAGCACTAATTAAATCTAAGGAAAGATTTAATCAGGAACCGACAGTATAGACGCTTTCTATAACGAAAGATCGTTATAGGGCAGACAGCTTCAAAGGGAAAGATAGTATAAAAACACCACACTTACCACACACGGTGGTTGGCCCACCCAGGAATGCTGGTCCACACCTTCGCTCGATCCGTCTTCCTGAAAAATAAAGAAACCTTGCTTTCACGCAGCTCGCTTCGATCGCAAATTCTTTCGTCACGCCGGCAACGCTCTCCCGGCCAGGAAATTCGAATCCAATTCAACACTAGGATTCAGGAAAGCTCTCAAGACCTCACTCTGGTTCAAAGGATGAGCTTAATGAGGATCCCGTTGTGGTCTCCTATTACTCTTGTGGTTGTTTTAATCTGGGCTGAATTGTTTTGTATTTTTTTGCTGTTTTGGGATTGAGTGTCTAGTAATAATAGAGGCAGTCCTCAACTTACAACCATTCATTTACAACAGCACTGAAAAAGCTACATATGATCATTTTTCACTTGCAACAACTGCAGCATCCCCGTGGTCACATGATCAAAATTCAGGCACTTGACAACTGGCATGCATTTATGATGTCTGCACTGTCCCGGGATCATGTGATCCACCATTTGTAGCCATCCTAGCCCACTTCCAATAAGCAAAGACAATTGGAGAAGTCAAATTTGCTTAACCATCACACGATTCATTTAACAACTGTGGCAAAAAAAGATCATAAAATGAGAAGCAACTCACTTAACTGCCTCACGCATCAATGGAAATTTTGGGCTCAATTGCGGTCATAAGTCAAGGACTGCCTGTAATGGGTGCCATACCAAAAAAACTTTGATGGCACTTAGAGGATCTGCACATTGACAAAACGTCTGTCACTTACAAAAGGCCATGCTGCTTGGATTTATTATGCTGAGACTTTACAACATCCTAGGACTATGATGGCGAACCTATGGCACACGTGCCACAGGTGGCACGCATAGCCATATCAGTGGGCACACGAACATTGCCCTAGCTCAGCTCCAGCGTGCATGCGTACGCCAGCCAGCTGATTTTCGGGTTTTTGGGCCTACCAGAAATTGGGAAACAGGCCGTTTCTGGCCTCCGATGGGTGGGGGTGGGGAAGGCTATTTTCGCCCTCCCCAGGCTCCTAGGAAGCCTCTGGAGCCTGGGGAGGGTGTTCTGTCCCCGTCTCCACACACACACAAACACAGCCAGCCGAGGGTTAAGAAGCACTTGGCACGCACACAGGTTGTTATCGGGAACTTGGCAGCAATATGGGCACCGACTGCCAAGGGCTTTACTTCACCAGATAAACAGAAAATACATACAATTCACAAATAGTCCAGCTCAAAACAAGAAATCTTCGGCAGATTTAAGCGTTGTTCAAGTGACTAGCCAGAGTTAGTTTTTGTTCGTCACAGAGTCTTAAACAGCCACCACACTCTCTTATATAGTCTCTGGGGTGTGGTCCAGTGACTCAGTTATAATCCCTGGCACACCTCCTTAACTGCTGCAACCGTTTATCATGCCTTCGTTGGCGTGGATCCAGGAACGACAGACCACCTCCCTCGCTCTCATCGGAGACACCTGGCTCCTGGCTAATCTCCTCTTCCTCGGCCGGCACCTGAGGCAGTGCCAGAGGGGAGGGGCCTGGAGAGGGAGGCCTGGCCGACTCCTCTCCCTCATGTTCGGAGCCTTCTTCCTCCGATAAAATAGGCTCGGAGGGCGGGGCCACAACAGAGAGCAAAAAACAGGCCTACCAGGCCCACCGCATGCCAAAAGCGGGGGGAACACGGGGGGGCACGCATGCATGTACGGGAGGCGCACAATGAATTATGGGTATGGACACGCATGCGCTCGACGCCCCGCGCTCCCCCCAATGGCACACGATGGCAAAAAGGTTAGCCATCACTGTCCTAGGATATCTAAGAACTTGATGTGTATGAAGGCCAATCCCAGCTAAAGAATTGGCAGCCATGATCCCACAGTTGTGTATATAATAGGAATGATAAATGTTAACATGTCCCACAGCCTGAAAAAGTTTAAGCCACAGGCTTGGAGGCAAGGAGAGACTAATGAAAGGCATGTCATGACATGCCCATGAAAAGCACACCTCACCACACACAGACAATGAGAACAGTAATCAATTCAGAATAAGCAAGAACTTTACCTTTGGATTTTCATCACTGGTTCCAGCAATCGAATCATGTTTCAACTCTTCCATCCTTATTGCTGCTAAAGTGAAGGGAGAAAGAAAAGAGACGAAGACCCAAACAAGAGGATTATACAGGTAGTCCTTGACTTACAACCACAATGGCGCCTATAATTTATATTGTTAAGTGAGTTTTGCCCCATTTTATTATTTTTCTTTGCCACATTTGTTAAGTGAATCACTTCAGTTGTTAAATTAATAATACGGTTGTTACATGAATCTGGTTTCCCCACTGACTCTGCTTGTCAGGAAGGTCACAAAAGGCGATTACACGACTCCTGGACACTGCAACAGTCATAAATGTGAGCCAGTTGTCAAGAATTGCAATGTAAATCATGTGACCATGGGGATGCTACAATAGTTGTAAGTGTGGAAAACCGTCTTAAGTCACTTTTCTCAATGATGTTATAACTTTGAACAGTCACTAAATGAACAAGTCACTATCTGTACTGAATTTCTCCTGCTATTTTGACTTTTTTTAAAAAACTCACTCCCTTATTCATTTTCAGCCAGGCTAGGGAACATTTATTCCCGTTTATTGAATAAACCAAAATTAGCTCAGCAACTCACACTAAATCATGATCAAAATATCTCGCTCGTGGTTGCCTGTGCTGGATCAACCAACTATGGTTTCTGGCGTCCCCGCCCAGTGAAATGAGATTAAATTCTCTGGCTGGACGGCATCGGCAGAGAAAGTACTTAATAAAGGAGATCCCGATCATTTTCTCCATCGTTTCGCGTTCACAAATATATTCAAGAACTCTTTACCTTTACAGGGCGCTTTCTATGAGCCGAGGATTGGAAACAGAAGACGACAACGGGGAGACCTCCAGCAAACCTTCCAAGACGCCAAAAAAAGAGGAAATGACTCCGCAAGTTCTTGCGTAGGCTTTTCGAAAGGCGGGGACGGCATAGAGAAAGTGATTTGTTTCCTCAAATTTTTTTTCCGGGACGGTGATTGGGATCCTGAAAGATGCCCATAAGGGACACAGCTCGTCAAAAGCGCGATTCCAAAAAGCGATTCCCGCCCATTTCCCTTTGAAAGGCGGGAAATGGAAAGTCTCCGCTAGCCCAGAAACGAAAGGGAAAACTAGATCGAGTTGCTGATAAATTCCCGGGTTTTTATTATGACCTCTTGGGGCGCTCTGGATCGATCCCTGGGAAGTGGCAGAAGTAGATTCCAGCCCGCGGAAAGTGTCGGCTAAGCCGGGAAGGGATAGCATCGGGATCGTTTCCCTCCCACTGGAAAGCGGAGAAAGACTACCGTGGATTGGACGGGAAGACCGTCGTCGGCGTGATTCAAAGATCACGAATTTAAGCCCCGTTCGCATTCCAGCCCTTATGTGAAAAATGGGGACCGGGGCGAGAAAAAAAAACCGAGTTCACCTAATCCAATCGCTTAACCCTGGCCCAAAACGTGGGCGAAGAGCCAGATCTTCAAGATCCTTGGAAACCCCATTGGGGTGGGGACCATCTGTAGCTCAGAGTGCGGGTGCTGTAACAGGGAAGGCGATCTTCTGGGGTCCCGAAGGGTGCCTTTGTTTAATCCGATATTTCTTAAGATTGGGAAATGTTAAGGTGTGTGGACTTAAACTGCCAGAAATTCCAAGCCAGCAAAGCCCTACTCCAGTTCAAAGTATTTAGATGCAGCCAAAGGCTCACCTCTTCTTAGAGGGATGTTTCCCTAACTTGGCATTTTAAGATATGTGGACTTCCAATTCCCAGAATCCCCCAGCCAGTATGTTGGCTGGGGAATTCTTGGAATTGAAATCCACACATCTTAAAATTTGCAAGGTTGGGCAACACTGATTTAACTACAACAACAACAACAAAAAACCCTTAAAGTGTGCCAGCCCTGCCAGATCGAACCAGCCAGGATGATGATGATGTCAATTTCCAAGAAAGTGCAAAAATTTAAATGAGAATTGTTCTGCATGGAACAGTTAAATATTTCCTCCTCACCGACTCATTGCTGTAGGAATTTCGCTTTGTGAGAATAAAAGGAGGGAACATTCTCTCAATGGTTTTTTTCCCCTCTAACTCCAGAATAAGGAATTCAAATTTCTCTTTTACCCTCAACACTCTTTCTCCAGAGCATAAGGTAAGGATGACGTGTGCTTTTGAAAAGGGGAAGGGATGGGATAGGAAAGGCAACCATAAGGCATCCACATTCTCCAAGAATACAGAATACGGTATAGAATAACAGAGTTGGAAGGACCTTGGAGATCTTCTAATCCAACAGAACATCTAGAAGAGCAACGGTGTCTCTACATTTTCTTTTCTGCCTCCTGTAAATTGTGCCACTATTCTGGTCTTCAATAAATTAGGAAATGGAAAAAAAACCCAGTAGAAATACAGGCAGCTGTTATATAGTAGTGTCTTTTGAAGAGCTCCATAAAAGTTTCTGAAAGAGGCATAGCAATTGCACACTAAAGAGATCGCCTTAAAAGGCTTTTCCAAGAAAAGATCAATTCCCTTCAATCCCTTTCAATGGATTGGATTGTGGGGAATAGTGTATTCTTTCTTTGATGGGAAAGTTACTGGATTTTTTCCCCCCACCGGAATGTCATTTTAAGCAATGGATGGAGGCTAATCAAGGAAAGAATCAACCTGCCACTAAGACATTTCTTGACAGTTTTAACTATCAGTGGAACAATTTGCCTTCAGAAGTTGTGGGTGCTCCAAAACTGGAAGTTTTTAAGAAGAGATTGGACAACCATTTGTCTGAAATGGTATAGGGTTTCTTGCCTGATCAGAGGGTTGGACTAGAAGACCTCCAAGGTCCCTTCCAACTCAGTTATTCTGTTATTCTGGAATGGTATGGTGACTGATCAATTAAAAAACACTTGGTGAAACATCACCTCATCAAGAACTTTGAGAGAACAGTATCTTTGGAAGGGGGTAGTTTTCTATTTTTTACCTTTTTTTCCAGAGGACAGTTTGAAAAATAGATGCAATGGAAATTCATGCCTCAGTGGATCTTATTACTGTAGGGTAACAAATTGGCCTTCCTTCCTTCCCCGCTCCTCCCCTAATTTTTCCACTAAGCAACTCAAGTCATTTAATGGTCAGAAGAAGAAAAAAAGCAGAAGGAAAGCAATGAAAATATGGCTGAAGTCTCAAGGTGGCTTTATATATGGTAGCTAAGAGGAAACACTGCCGTCATGACAACAGTATCACATAAGAAGTTTACTTAATTATGTTGTCTGTTTATTTCTCACCATCAGAGACAGTTGGTGAGCTTTGATAGAGCACTGGAAGCATTAACACAAGTGCCAACGTAAAGATAATTCTGAGTATGTTTTTAGACAAGTGTACAACCTGAACCAAATAATTGCTCAGCTAAAGCTTGATCTCAATAATACCTATCCATCAGCACAAATATTTCACCAGGGGAGGTCTAAAAAGCAAGTGCACAATAAAATCTCATTCAAGTTTACTCAGAAGTCCCTGCATTTAAATAAGATTGATTCTGGTACATACCATAGAATTGTAGGCTATGTAGCACAAATACATACAGTAAATTCACAATTTCTAATGAATCAACTGCATATCTATACCCAACTCTGAGTATTGGATTATCTGTTTCTGTTTCTATAGTGGTATGGAACAAAATAAAAATTAAATGTGTTTGTATGTGCTTGCACCATGACAAATAACACCTGTAGAATTAGTCCCAATAAATAATCCAATAATCTAAAAAAAAAGAAATTTTAAGTAAAAACGTGGCAAGTCTTTTCACTGAATAATGAAAAAATTAACAGTGTCATACATGTAGTCCTTGACTTATGACCACAACTCAGCCCAACATTTTTGTTGCTAAGCAAGATGGTTTTTAAGTGAGTTTTGCCTATTTTACAACCTTTCTTGCCACAGTGGTTACATGAATCACTGCAGTTGTTAAGTTAGTAGAACATAATAGTTAAGTGAATTTGGCTTCCTCATTGACTTTGCTTAGCCGAAGGTCCCAAAAGGTAATCACCTGATCCCGAGACACTATAACCACTATAACGTGCCAATTGCCAAGCATCTGGATTTTGATCATATGACCATGGGGATGCTGCAGCAGTTGTTAAGTTAAAAAATGGTCATAATTGATTTTTTTCAGTGCTGTTGTAAGTTGGAACAGTCACTAAATGAATGCTGTAAGTCGAGCGCTACCTGTATACATCTCAATAATTAGGGCCAAGGAATCCAGATAACAGTAATTTAAAGGTAAAGTTTCCCCTCGCACATATGTGCTAGTCATTCCTGACTCTAGGGGATGGTGCTCATCTCCGTTTCAAAGCCAAAGAGCCAGTGCTGTCCGAAGACATCTCCGTGGTCATGTGGCCGGCATGACTAAATGCCAAAGACGCACGGAACACTGTTACCTTCCCACCAAAGGTGGTCCCTATTTTTCTACTTGCATTTTTACATGCTTTCAAACTGGTAGATTGGCAGAAGCTGGGACAAGTAACAAGAGCTCATCCTGTTACGCGGCACTAGGGATTCGAACTGCCGACCTCTCTGATCTTAGCCACTGAGCCACCACTCAGTGTGTAAACATTAGTAAATAGTAATTTACTAGTGTACTAATTTTAATAGCAAACTCATATGTATGTGAAGTAAATGAGATCTTACAATGCTCATGAAACTAAGAACCAGATTCAGAGAAGGCTACCTTTAAATAAGGGAAGGTGTTAATTTGTTGTATTAACGTGCCTTCCAATAGCCTTCTGTGGCCTTTGACTTTAACTTATAAATAATTAAAGAATTATGATATAGAAGCCAAGTCTTAAACAACCTTTTAAACTCAACTTGCAAATATATCATAAAATCAGATTAGCCTGTAGCAAAGTGCTGTAATGCATATTAAGGCATATGTATTGGACCTGTAATAATTAGGATTATTATCTCCTTTTTAAAATCTAGGAATTACAATTGCCATCTTCAACCCAGCTGACAAACAGCAGGTATTATTTCTACATGCACAAATAACTTTGCTTTCTTTAAACCTCATTTAATGAAGACCTTATATTCTCTTCTAAGAGACAGCTTCTTAGTTTGTGTCTCTGTAGGTAGATGCCTCAGGTCCATATAGCCCCAACCCATTGAGCTTTCATTACACTTTATAAATCTGGCTCTTCCGACAAGCTTTGGATGGCATGTAGTGATTGGTTCTCTGATATTGCTTGATTGAAAATCTGTTTGTTTAGTTATCCTTCCATAAGATACAGCTTGCATTTAACTGTTGAGTTTGACATTTAAAAAAATATATATTTTACTATTTTTTTTTTACTTGCTTCAATCCTCTTTTGCTACCTGGAGTCATTTCATCAGTATACAAATTAATAAATATTTTATGAAAAATATTAAGAGTCAAGCAAAAGACATAATGATTCTGATGAAAAGAAAAATTGTTCTGGATGTGGATGAAAAGGGCTAAATGAGAAGGCTCCCACAGAATGAAAAGAATTAAAAATAAAAGGGTTGAAATCATTTTGGATCAAACTGAAATAAGGAAATGCTCAAACCGGTATATTGGCATGGAATGATAGTGATAGATTAAAGGCTGGAATTGGAAACAAGGATAGAAATGTTACTGTACAAGGAAAGCTGCTGAAAAGTAAGCAACAAGTGCTGTGAGAAATGTTGAAAAATGGTAAAGGTGCAGTGTAGATAGTGACTGTGTGATAGTGTGACTGAGAAGAAGGTTAAACTATGAACATGATTTGAGTAGCATTTCCAAGGTAATCTGTCCATCCGATCAATGCCTTCCACTGAATCAACCAGAAAAAAAATCCAGGTCTAACTTCCAAAGATTAGAGGAGTCCTATTTCTATTTACTAAAGGTGGATAGTTATGCATGGTGAGCCATTACTGTTGGCTCTGTTGTTGTAGATAGAATTTATGATGAATTAATAAAAATAACAAGACATTTATGGTTTGGATCTCTATTCTTGATTGCATTGCCCGTTAGATGTTCAATGAGAAGTATGTCAATGCTTGCAGTAGGCACGTAAGACTAGTTTGCCTAAGGCTACTTCCATACTAATAGTCTAGTCCAGGGTCTCCAACCTTGGAAACTTTAAGCCTGGTGGACGTCAACTCCCAGAATTCCCCAGCCAGCAAGGCTGGGGAATTCTGGGAGTTGACGTCCACCAGGCTTAAAGTTCTCAAGATTGGATATCCCTGGCTCTAGTCTATAGCATTATCAATTTAAAACAAAATACGTTTGTTGTATGTGTTATTTAGTATTTGTTTTCAATTTCACCCTTTATACAACA